TGGATGCATGTGGTCGTTGGGGCGATCGACCGTCGATGGTTCTTTCGTGAGCTTAAGAGGAACAAAAGCAAAGGCACCCGAATATATTTCATGAAAATGGTCCCTTGATGTCGTTTGCATGACCATTTTCCTCTACAAGCAGGCGACTTTCCATTGTAATGTCTTTGGTTCTCTCCTGGATGGGACTCTATCAAGCAGTGAGAAGACAGGCTCTATTGTTGCTTCCGCGATCCAGTTGTCTTGACCCGAAGTCTGTGATGTTGAAGTAAAAAGCTCCTTTTGTCTGGATGTATCCAGAAGTTCCAGAAGTTCGTCGAAAGGGCATTCCTGATTCTTGGATACCCCCAAAAGATATGTCGTTGGGGCCTCCACGAGAAGGGTTTGCTTTCTCTTTTCTCCCTCAAGAGCCAGTCTTTTTCCTTCAAACAGGCGACTTCATTCATCACATCTGAAAGAGAACTCAGTTTCTGGCAGCATCACGCGCACGTGCGGCTCCCGTTGGAAGGCTGTGATGGCAATGGACCTCTGCCTCGGGGGGGTGTGAGTCTGGTCGATTCGAAGCTAAAGAAGGTGTTCAACTGCTCGAACTTAAAGAATCACATGTTTGGGGGAATCTTGGGGCATATCATGACGCTTCAATCTGGTGAGGCTTGCTTGTTCTTTGGCCCACCTTCACTGCTCTTGGAGTAGGGTTTCGTAGCGGTCACCCAAGTTCTTCAGCCCAGCGTGGACTGCCCTCCGCCCGGCTTCGCGTCTGCCCGTTCGGGCCTCAAAGATTTGGATCCATCGATGCGCGTGAAGGGCAGACCTGCGTCTTCGAAGCGAAGCAACCGCCAAAGCCCACCGGTGTGTCGGAAACAGAATTCGGGTGCCGGAAACTATGTCCATCTATGTCCCTTTGTTATTCTTGGGTCTAAACTCACCCCCTGGAGGAATGCAAGTGATTGCCTCATACCTGTGAGCCCAGCGTGTACTGAATGAACATGTCCAAACCATTTGAGAACCCTACTGTAGCGACCATCAAATCTCACCAAACAAACGGTGGCGGGAACACGTCCATGTTCCTGCCACCGCAAGGGTCCAGATCGTAAAAAATTGGACGAACACTGCAGCATCCAAAAGTCGTCAAATGTTCGACCGGTTTGCGCCTAAGCGTTCCAACATCTTCTGCAGTAAATCCAAGGAGCTGGTCATCTGCGCAAAGATCTGGCGGTGACGCGGATGGGCCGAGCATGGTCCGAACGGTTGTTGCAAGCCCTGGAAAGCCGTTGCCGAGAAACCATGGCATTCCCATCTTGGAACGACTACCCTGAAATCTCACATAGACCCTGAAAACCACTGGAGTAACCACTGGTTTGTAAAGGACATTTAAATCGGTTTTTGAGGGTGCTGAACCCAGGTCCATGTGAGTAGACTTGGGAGTGACTTTGTCTCTAACCTGGTGTTTCCACCACGAGCGAGGCAAGGTCCCATGGCAGGCTCCTCCCACTAGTCTAAGGCTTTTCTCATGAATCGGCCTTTTTAAAACCAGTGATGAGTGTTGGTTGGAAACGTCCTGCTAGGCGAAGCTACGACTCTTTCATCCCAAAAAGGGTCATGAACGAGCACGTTGGCCGAGTGCAATCAAGCCGCCGCGAGCTTGACTCACTGAGGAAGACTGATAACAAGATCAAATCGACACCGGTGTTCTTGTTCAGCATTCCAATGCGTTTTGTTTCTCTTTTTTGATGCCCCTTCAACTTTTCGCAGGGGATGCACAAGATTCCTCGAATCATCTCGAAGCATTTCCATTCATTTCCAACTTGGTTCATGGAACAGTCCGCCACACTTTGTTTCAGAAGGAATCTTTCCCGGTTGCGACATATCGAGACATACCCACCGACGCCACCGACAGTGCGTTGTCGAAATGGAACAAACCTGCCCAAAGGTCATCTCTTCGAGTTCACATCTCTTTGCCAACAGAGCACCCTGATCCTCATCACAAAGCGCACTCGGGACACGCTGATGTCCGGTGCAAACCCCGGCCGAGCCCCACAGGGCTCCCTCTGAGTGTCCAGCCAGCACTTTGTGGTCAAACTGCACCAACCTCCGGTGGAAGCCGAGCGAAAGCGAACTTTGAAGAGATCGAACGTTGGTGGTCGATTTGACGGCTTGGAAGAGCTTTGATTTATATTGGTGTAAATCCTCAGGAGAGGTTTCAGGAACTTTTGGGATCTTGATGGATGTCCCTGCAGAGTCAAACTCTGGTTTCTTCATGTTTCTTCCATAAAAAACCTCACAGCAGCATCCTGAAGGGCCTTCACAAGCCAGGTACAGCTTGATTGACGGGGTACGCTTTCTCTGCGGGAACGCGTCCCCGTGGTGCCTGAGGTTGATGTGACCACCGACCAGTCAAAATGAAGTGCTTCCCCGGTCAAGAAATCAGGGTGAGTCTTCTGTCCATCCCACATCGGTTTGGTCGGATTTTCTATTCCGTTCTCTCCAAAAATCCCTTAACAGTCAATCCTGAAACCGTAACATAAGTGACTCCTTCCTACCGTAGGAAAAGCGAATTCCGACCGTAGGCATCGGTCGCATCGTCACGCATCGGTCGATGTCGCACTTTAAAGCATAATAGACACAGGACACTCGACCATGTCATTATTTGCCTACATTCACCATGGACATCCGACCATCATGAAAACCCCGTAAGCAAACCACCCCGTTTCCAGCAAATACGCGTGTGTCCCATGATCCCATGTGTCGTGTCGTGGGCCCTGCTTTCTCCAGGCGTGTCCGCCGTGGCCTGGGTAGGATCCGGTCCAGGAACTCGAACTTCCCCGAGACCTGGAACGGCTCCGACGGCGACGGAACGTGGGCAGGTTGCGGGGAGTCGGTGGATCCAATGAGTTGGGGAAGGCCAATGAGCTTCCAAATGGTAGAGAGACTATGTATATATAATATAGATTTCGATATAGTGGGTCATGAAATTTACGTGACATCAATCATAACATGGAGCACGACTGCATCAAAGACAAAACTGAATGGATCACGAGGACAACCAAGGAAAAGAAACCAGCGGATAAACCAGCAGAATGCATTCAATATATTCTTGGGAACGTATATCGAGACAAAGTTCCGGCACGGAATTGCGACCGGTATCAGGGACAAGGCTTGAAGGGCGCCCTGTGCGGGGGTTCGACCAGGTCAAACAATATCAAACCACTCTGATCGGGCGGAACATCTCTCCAGTGGGACCTTGGGCAGGCCTTAATTACGTGTTAATTGCATGCTCTTTGGCCATGTGAGGAAGACATGTTTTGCCATGTCCGTCGGAGGTCGCCAGTGCTTCCCGATGACGTCGTCCAAACCCACTGCAAGGCGATCCTATCGACGACACACGTGATCATGATGCACGGCCACCACTGGGCGTCTCGCGCGAGTGAGTCGTGGTGGACGGCATCTGCAATCCAGTCATTAAGTTGTTGTGCTCCCATGCGTCCTTGTTCCTAGTAGCTTCCTTGCTCCTAGTAGTAAGGCCAGGAGCCCCTAGTAGCGTCCTTGCTCCTAGTAGCGATGCCAGGAGCCGCAGGAGCCCCTAGTAGCTTCTTGTTCGTGTTTCTCCAGGCAGATATGAGTTTATAGTTTATTGTTGGCGACCGGCCAAAACTGCAGGACCACTCGCTGCAGTGAGAACTGGTGAGTTGGAGTTTTACGCCCGGCAAGAGGCGAATGGCACCTGCATCGTGGAAGGACCGACCAAACGCGGGACCGGTGGCCGCAGCCTGTTCAACGACCTGCCATCGTGCAGAAGGCACGCTTCAAGCAGGAAGGACGACGGTAGGAGACAGACCTTGCGCTGTCTGACATGGTCGCGGGTCATGGGATGCCGAGATGGTTTCGCTTTACCAGGATCAGCTGAACTGCGAACAGGGCAACGCAGCCTCACTCCTGCTTCGAACACCCTTGGGAGAGTACACTGTGCTCATAAGGCACAGCGCCCTGGGAGAGTGGAGCCTTGAAGATGCTCTGGTCGAGACATGCAAGATTGAAATCCTCCAAGCGATGTACCCCCAAACTGGGGGAGGGCGTGGTGCCCAAACTCCCAACGTCGTTTTGACATAACCGTCGCGTTCAGACTAGATGCCCCCAATCAGTTTCCCCATCAACAACACCTAAGGAACCCCTGTCTGGAACACCAACAAATAAAATAGAGCAACACCACCCGGATCAATCACCATCCCCCCGCAACTGAAGGCCGAAAGGCCCGAGATCCCGGTTCTCGCAAGGTCAAAACCCGCAGGCACCCTCTCCTTATACTGGCTAATTGCTTCGAGAGTGAGTTACATTCTTGAACTCACTTGCATGGGCGTATACCGTTCGTGTCCCGCAAGAGGAGAACGCATCCAAAACATCCAAAACATTCCAAAACCCACGCCACGTTGCAGGAAAAGAACAGCTTTCTTAAGGCCCGTGACTGGGCCCGTGGGCTCATATGGGCCCTGTCTCCCTCACGGCCACGGCGGTCACGACGCACTCTGGGCATTCGACTTTCACCAGCTCCTCGCATCGGTGCCGTTCGCCCGACCCGGAAGGACCCGGAGTTGTTGAGATCGGTGCCATCACTTCGGTTGATCTGCCCGTTTGATCCCAGCTTCTTCGACCGAACCTTTTAGTCCCATTCGCCTTTTGCAGGGCTGGACTGACCTCAAACCAGGGGGTCAAAGGTCACAGAGGAAGAACCAGGTCTGTTGAATGCATGTTTTTGCCATGTAAAAGGTTAGAAGATTTGGTGATTTGGCTCAAAAGTCTGCAAGAAAGTTCTGGGATTGGAAGCCTCCAAGGCCATTGACGAGGAACCTCGTGCACAAATTGGAAGTCAATAACCCTTAACATCCCTTAACCCTTCGATGGCCATGAGTAAGCTTGGAAATCCTTCGAAAAAACCCTCTCCATCCACGTCCTCCTTCTTTTCTCTCTTTGCGTCAAGAGGTTCCTCTCTGGGCACCCGCTTCTGGGTCTCAGGCCAGCGCCAAGAGGAACACCGAGAGACGCTGCGCCGTCAAGGGCACCGGCGCGCCCGTGCCATCGTCCATGGCCACGAAGGCTGGACGATCACGGAGGCCTTGGCCCTCGTTCTTCACCTCGGAGCAGTGGCGGCTGCGGTGGGAGCGGGAGGAGCCGTCCACCGCGGTGGAGGGTCGACGGTGACGACGGTGACGGCTGTAAAGGAGAAGAAGCGAACCTGGTGGAGGACTTGCAGTAATTACGGAGACCTCCCCTTGGCCACAGGTTCTTCTTTTGGAGGGTCAAGTCTATGTTCCTTTGAACCCAGGGGGCTGTTGTGTGTCATGTCTCCCGCAGTCTCCCTATTTTATTACGCATCCAATCGCATCCATGACTCTGACATACTCTGACTCTCTGAACTTGGAGAAAGACAAGTCAAACTGTTGAGTCAACCCGTGTTTTGTGAGCTTGCTTCAAGCATGCCAATATTTGGTCAACACTCCCATCTCAAAGAGGTGAACAAGCCTCGGAGCTTGGGTTGAACCTCACGTCAGGATATGCCAGGACTATAGCTGAGTACCAAGGCTCCAAACATGTGGGGGTGAGCAATTAGCAGCAAAGCTCCATGTTTGGGGTGTCTATGAGCCAGCGAAAAGGTTAAGGGATGTCCATTCACCACCCCCTTGTGGACGCCTTAGGTGGCTCTGATAGAGATGTTTTTTGGAGGTTCTGGCGTCCACACATCCAAACGATTGGCCAGGGGTCCACAACGGCCGACCATCTTCAACCGACTTCGACCATCTTCTTAGACCCAGAAAGGCTCAAGGTACCCAGTCACAGAGCTGTACTTTTTGACAAACCAGAGCTGGATTTTGGAAGCAAGAGTCTTCAGATTTCTTCAGGGTTCTACGGACTGGTTACGATCAGGCCTCTTCCTAAAATGTCCTCATTCTTCACTGGTCTTCCCGATGATTCAACTGCGGGACGGCACAGCTGCACAACCCTTCTGTCTTGTACTTCGCAGAGTCCAGACACAGAAGAAGTGCACAGAACCTGCTACAAAACCTCTGACGACACAGTCCCCAGAACTCACGGGATTCCTCAGAGTTCACCGACCAAAACCAGGCAAAGAGACCATGGCGGAGACCATGGCGGAGACTGCCGGACTGCCGGACCGCCCCCCCAAAGCCCGGAAAGGACTCGATCAACTGCGGAGTCACACAGGGTTCCTAGTTCCTAATATATAGTAGCTTCTTGCTACGTTCGTAGCGATGGCCTCCAACCGAATAGCGATGGCCTCCAAGCTAGTAGCTTCGTAGCTTCCGCCCTGTAGCTTCCGTCGTAGCTTCCGAGTCACACAGGCAAATTTTGCCATCGAGTAGGATTTCTTCAAACGATTCATGTTCTTCAAACTCAAGTAGGCAATAGTCCTGGGCTGCGGTTTGAGCGGTTTGAGCTGCGGCGGCTCAGTCGTACTGTTTCGCATAAAGCAATACAATGGGTAGCTGTAAAACACCCTGCATAAACTTTCACCGTCCATCAAATCAGAGTTGGTCAACCCGTCTGACATAACATGTTCAAAAAGAAATGAACACCACACAAGCGTCCTTGCAACATCTGTGGTCCTCTATATGGGCGTCATACCCAAAGTAAACGACAGTCCCGACTTGGTATCGACACCAGTTTCTGCGGGAATTGAGTATAGTATAGAAACATCTCTTTGTTTCACTTCAAGCAGCATGGTCCAGCCAGTGGCCTATGCCCACTGAAATGTATGGAAACCAGGAAATAAAAGTCCCCATCTAATCTGGCATAATCTGGCCACTGAGGCTTGATGGTGCCTCCAATCTGTACAAGTTGCTGGGTCCTGATGCTTGCGCCACTTCATGACCTTCATTGAAGACGCCCCAACAACATGTCAAACTGGGAACTTCCGCGATCCATGTCAAGGGCGCGAGGCGTCGACACGCACACTGAGCTTGGTTTGGATTCCAGTTCATTTCACCCAAGCAGGAACGGATCCGTCGCAGGTTCCGACGGAGTCTGGGGTCGAATTGAGTCGAAGCCCGCGCCCGACTTGGCGAGTGACTAAGCACATCGGCCCCCGCGCTCGAAGTCCAAGCCAAGGCACTCTCTACCGGTCAACCAGTGATAAATGGTCTTCGGAGTGATGGGATTGCCGTTGGGACCTGACCGAGACCGGCGGGGACCTAACGGATCGGCTGGACCGAGACCGACGGGGAGGCGTCGACCGCCCGACAGCCCGTCTCACTTCGAGAGAGGAGTGAGGGATAACCCAAAAATGAACCGAGAGGAGTGGATGGACCAAATGCAGCAAATTGAAGCAATCAAACATGTTTCAGATTCGTTCATGGAGAGAAAAGACCAGTTTTCGATAGCGGCGACCCGCTCGCCATCGACTGCTTCTCAGAATGAGGCGAAAGAACCACACGAAGACCGGGTTTGGGATGACACCCAGTGGCCCAAAAGCAGCCAAACAGCTGCTACAAGGGCATACTTCAAAGAATCCGCAAAGGACACTGCCATCTGAAAGTTAAAAAACAACACATCAGAATCACTATCAGTCACTATCAGAATCATAAACCTCTTACATCTCAAAAACACATCCCGTGTTTTTTTTTTCGATGTTTTTCCAGGTTTCCCCCAGCACCGACCCTCATTTCGCTGGGATATCTGAAAAAGGTGCTGAGCAGGGCGCGTTGGATGAGATCGCTCTCCATGATCTTCTTGACGGCATTGTCCAAATTCACCACGGAGGGATTGGAGGCAAAGATCGCAATATACGCCGACCTTGGAGAGACGACGTGTTGTTTTCCGGCATGTCTTTGGATGGAAAGAGCTGAGGAAAAGCAAAGGACACTCAAAGATGAACAGGTCTAAGCCTAGCTCAAGAAATAGCAGTTCGACCCGTCAATCTGATCGGGTAAAATCTTTCTGGCATTTGCCACAAGTAGCGAGCTGCGAGCGAAAGATCTAAGTCAGCTGAGGATTCGGTCACAGTCACTGGTTTCTGAAAAAAGAAAATCACAGTTGGGTGAGTACACTGAGTACACCTCTTTCTCCCCCGACTTCCTATCTACATCTCAGGCGCTGTTGCTACCCCCAAATCAACCATTAGATCATATTATCCCTTCGCTAGGGCTCCAACCATATCCTCAGGTTCGATGGTTATATAGACCCCCCTGGCACCCACCCCAACCATCTTCTCAGGATGTGGGCCAGGAGCCCTAGGGATTCTTGTCATATTCTATCGGGTGGTCGCCTAGCCTGCCTTTATGTGCCGCAGCGACGAAGAGAGACTTCCGTCCACGTTGGCCCAGCCGAGTTCACGGAGTGTTCCCCAGAAGGTTGGAGGTGAACTAATGGTTGAGACACCAGAAAATCAGGCAAAGGAGCAAACCAAAGGCTGCCGAACTTAAAAGAGGGGGTTCACATGTCCGTTGCATAGATCGATTTCATTCCCTTTTAGAGAACAAGCATGCGTGTAAGCATGTGTCCTTGCATTCCCATTCACCTCCAATCTCCAAGTGGCGCTGCCGTATTCCGAATGACGCTGGCAATGCGAGTCATCAAAGAGGCCACACCTGCAGCGACCCAACCGGTTGCTGAAACGGCCAGGAGTTCGTTGGTCGACGCCCAAACGCGACCGCCATCTGGCCGTTTCGAAACGGCCAGGGGTGGTTAAAAAGGGGTCTTTCTGGGGCGGCATATCTTCCATACACCAGCACCTTCCAAGTCCGGTGGTTTTTGGACACCTCTTAACCTCTAAGAGGCTATTTATAGACACCTCTTGGTGTCCTAGCATATGGAATGTAAGTCCCATCCCAGTGAGTAGATGTGACACGGGCACCCCGAACCTCTGGCACCAAAAACCCGTTTGGAGCGGCTTCAGCTGGCTTCTGGTACTTTGAACGGTGGTGATTGGATGTGATTGGCAAGAAAACGCACGACATGCATAGATATTTCCCGATATTTCCCTGGTTGGGAACTGGGAACTGCACTCCTCATTTTGAACACCCTCCAGGTCCTTCATTCAACCGACTCTTCTCCACTCCTGTCACATCCAATTCGCGGGGTAGGGGTCACCCATGGGCATTAACCATCACCAACCCTTTTTAGGACCTGCCGCCACAGACTGCCACAGACTGCCATCGCGCTCGGCCTCCAATCTGCACCCAGCCACCCACGAAGGCTCTCAGAAACAGTTCTCGTGCCTACCGAAGGACTTCTGCCGCGATGCGGAAGGGTGTCCGAAGCATCCCACACAGTCCAATCAGAACGGAGTGGATCGGTGGAGATGGAGGTTCTTTAGGATGAAGTTGGGGGGCCAACGCAGATTTTGAGAATCCGGGCCAAGGATTCCCACCTCTGCCGAGCCCAAGGATTCTTGAGGGTCGCTTGATTTTGAGAGCAGTATTGAGCAGTCTGGCCCACCATTCTGCTGCGGGCTGTCGAATCCTCTTTGTTTCAGGTGGTGCCGCCCCAGATGACCTGAGATCCGCCCAACCAGGGGGGCCCGACCCATTTCTCATTATGCCATCCGTCAAATGCCCAGCCAAACTTCTAAATATTATAAATATATATTATATTAATATATATAGGGATATCGGAAAAGAACTGCTTGGACACCACGGGTTGGGAGTTGTCAGCTTTCTTGCGACTTCTTTGGGAGAAGAACCACGGATTTTCAATTCTTTATTTATTGGATGTTCATTGGTATATCAGTATATATAGTAAAAGAGAAAACATAGCTCAATTGGATCAAGAATTGTAATGAACAACTAAATAGAACCTGATCCAAGAGTGAAAGGAGGACAAATAGACTAATTATTAATTACATATTAATAATTTCAAATTAGTAGTTTCTGGAAGGTTCGAGGAACCTGTAAAACCGTGTAAAACTAAAAGCCTCACTGCTGGCTGCAGCCCTTTTGTTGAGAGGTCTTGCCTCTTCCACCACACCTCACTTGTGATTGTACGACGTGACGCAAATTGTGTTGTCGGCCATGGTCAACACGCGTGCGAACCTTCTTTTTCGACGGTCCCGTGCAAGTGCTAAACCGGCCGCCGGAATGTGTGCGCTACGTCTTTTTGACAAATTGGGTGAGAAAGCAAAATTCACCGGGTCAGCAAGGGTTGCACACTTCTTCTCCAAACGTTTCGTTCTCCTCGAAGTACGTGTTCTGCAAAGCCAATATGGCCAACCACGTGAGACGATCATGAACATGTGACATCCTTGACCCATGAAACTCGTGAAATATGGGAAACTCCTAGCCTGCTGGCCACTTCCATGTTTTGGGATCTAGCCGCTAGCCTGAAGGGCCATGTTCGTGTCTGCAACCCCGATCATGCTGTATAAACACAGCCTCAGGCCATCCCCATCAGTTGCCCCAACATGGGGTTGGCATACTGCATGGGTCGCACGTTGGGGTGGGGCACATGGGCGAAGGACTTGTACTTCGGGGTCATGGTCTTGCCTCAGGCGGTCCGACGCTGTCACCGTGCGCGGTCCGACGCGGGCATCGCGCGGTGGACCGAAACACGCCGGGTGGTCGCCATGGGGGGTATAGGGTTTGGGCAAGATCGAAGGCTGTGAACGGGGGTGGGAGGGATTTAGTTTCAGCAATCACGCTTATATGATATGGCTTATGATGGCTTATGGGGTTGTGAAGCTCTTGAAGTCTCTGTCCCTCATGAAACCTTCGGGAAAGACCACGCTCGCGTGTGCTGCGTGCGTTTCGCATCGTTTCGCTGTCACCGCGACGTTTCGCTGTGACTCCGGCGCTTCCACCGCGCCAACCGTCGGTGCTGGTCGACTTCGTCCCAAGTGGCCATCCAATCGGATGAAGGCGCCCTTGTTCCCCATCCTCGGCGCTGGTCGACCGCGTCGCGAGGCCGGAGGCCGGGACCGGAGGCCGGGACTGCCGTTTTTCGGGACGGAGGACTGCGACGTCACATGGACGGCTCAGTGGATGGGACGAAACACACAGCAAGATATGCAGCTTCGAACCGAGCCCCTGTCTCAGTTCTCCAGGATTCGAAAACAAGGTGAACCACACATGCCCGGACAAGAAGGACCTCACTGGGTGTTGACAGAGGTCCACCAAGTCGCTCAGGGCCTCCTTAGAGTCCAGAGTCCACCATGTCTCAGGTCAGAGGTCCTAAGAGTCGAATCCTTAAATCCCTTTTCTGTCAGGTTCCAATGAGGGTTCAATCTGGCATATATGCCAAACATGGATGGTCTGGGTTTTAAAATTCTTTCAAACAGTCACGGGGTTGCTCTCCCCATCTTCTTTCCCTCACGTCCCCAGCCTCGTTTCCATCGTCCGGCCCAAGTGTCTGGTCGCAGTAGTTCGGAGCGGAGAAGACGGTGACCTTGTCGTCTGTCACGTCGGAAGAGGGACCGGTGTGGACAGTCGCTGTCTACTCAGCTTCGGCGTGGACCATCTCAACCAAAAGGTGACGTCGAACCGCACACCGGAAACGGTTGACGGGAAATGGTTGGGCACCCTACAAAAGGACCAACGTATACGTATTATGTGCACCCAAAGTTTAGGCTCAGAAAGGACCCTCAGTTCGGGTTTTGACTAGTTTGGACCAGGGTGAACTGGACCGAACCAACAGGTAGCAGTTGGTTCGGGTCCAGGGTCGCCTCTGGGTGGGATGTTTCGATGTCGGACTTTTCCGTCGATCCGCCGCCGAACCTGCACGCACCTGCGCCACGCAGGTCGCGCCACGCATGCGCCAAGAACGTCCTGAGCGCCCCCCACGAGCTTCCCGTCGTGTTCGATCTCGTAGCCCTCCTCTTTCATCTCGTGGCTCCGGATCACCATCTTCAGGTTATTCACCTGCATGCTGCGCCGGCCGCCCCACCCCCAGCAACGGCACCGGCGGAGGGTGGCGAAGTTCGGAATAATCTTGAAAAGCGGTCTGTCAGTGGCCAATCCCCATCAACGATGGGATTTGGATGGTTCTGGGGTGGGAAGACATCTGAGATTGATACCAGTCGTCTGGTGGTTGGTGGTTCTATCATGTTCTATCTCAAGACTGTGTGGCCTATCTCAAGCACTCTCTTAAGTGCGGCAATCTTCAAAACCGGTCGAGCGGGAACGCTGGATATCAGAGGATGAATCCTAATGAAGGATACCTTCCATGACCCGGAACCAAAACAACACTCTAAAGCGTGGGGGCCATCCACACATCCAACTGCACAACATCTTTCTTCCATAAGTGACAATCTCTTTTTAATCAACCCCAACCCCAACCCACACTTTTCCGTCCTGCTTCACTCACTGCGCCCCCGTCAAAACATGGGGCCTTCAAGAAGTTTTCAGTCACGTCTTGGCCAAAGGCCACTCCGACCTCAACAAGGGCCGGCAGCTGTCACCGCGCCCTCTCTGCGTGAGCGCGGACATGTGCGGGCGGCGGGAGCTGAAGACGATTGATGAATCAGAAGCCCCAACCAAAAACCTGGAGATTCAAAAGCCATTCTCCTAGAGTCACAAATTGGTGGTGTTTAGTCCCTAAGTGAGTGGATCATGGGCACTCCTCCATGGATCGCGCCCCTTTCTGACTGGCTGAAGCCGGTAGAAAGGTTTGGTTGAAGTATCAGCAGTCACCACCTCGCGTGTGCATCAACCACTGGAGGCATCCTTCGCGTCTCCGCGTTCCCGTGTGGAGACTTCGAGGGGTCACAAGGAGTCACTTTCCCATGCTATCAGGTCGCAGAGCGGTTCCTTCGCTCTACAAACGCCCAATTCTATACCAGGACCCGACTCTACAGGTCACCAATTGAGACCTGAGACAGGGTCCAACAACCCTCAACTAACAGCCTGTTGGAGGGTGCTGGTAAGTGTTTGTCCACTAAAAAACCTGGAACAACCCCCCCCACACACTCACCCTGCTCCCGGGCACAACAAACAGTCAGCCGCAAATCGCGGCATCGACGTCCCGTCTCATCCAGGGCACCCCTCTCTTCGAGGGCGCCCGGCCACGGCCAGGTTGAGGATCACTCCAGAGCATCTCGGTCATTAAGCCCTCGTCCGGTGGCTCACAATCCCGGTTCACCTGCAGAACACGTTTTCGCAGAAAACCGTTTTGTTTCGCCGAGTGAGCCAAGGGAATATACAAGTACCTGGACATACCTGGACCCTCCAACAGGTGCTTCCTGGTGACAACAGATGCCCAACCTCCTGTTAGGGTCTCCAAACAGCCTGTTGGAGGGTCCTGGCATGCTTTGGGACCTCTGATCCGTTGGTCTTCTTTGTTAAGCCGGTGGCGAGCCGACAGTCAGCCGCATTCTGATTCTGATTCTGTTCTAACAAAACCCAAATGAGCGGTGGTCGAAACCCATTGGTCTTGGCCTTATAATCATGTGGTTCTTTCATAGAGGTTTTGAACGCTGCTCAAATAAGATTGTACTAAGGGAGGATCAGCTTTCACAGTTGTTGAACGTTGAAAGTCAACTGGGTGTCGGGTGAAGGTATACCCTCCTAAAGGCATAAGCTTTTTTCAACCGAAGAGTCCAGCTCCCTTTCTGGGCCCAATCCATCAGGAAGGCATTGAAAGCACAACCAACCCAACTTGTTTTCTTCTTCTGAATTTGATTCTTCTCATCAGTGATGAATGCTGCAAATTAGGTCTTTGTAGATGCTCCTCCACCTGTCAAATCGACCACCCGACCCGCACTGCCGCCTCTGCCTTCCATAAAGCAAGCGGCGGGTGCGGTCATCCAAGCTCCAAACAAACACACCCAAGCAATCCATGCCCTCCCAAAAGGAATGCATCATATATTGCTCCGTGTTCTTGCTTTGCCACAACATGTTGGGGAGATGTTATTTCCAAAAACATGCGTTTGAAAGACCCATCGAGTTTGCCCCAAACGTCCCATCCGCATCCACTCAGGGGCCTTTCGAATGGATTCCAAGCTGACGTCATCCTTCGAAAAGAGCCCCCCGTGCACCACGAAGACCTGCTGGTTGATGACCTGGAAGCATGGAAAAACAATGCCTGAAGTAAGCCTGTTTGAAAGCTGGTCTAGAACAGTTCCATTTTGCATCATTTTGCCATGTTGAGGGGAAAATCTGATCCAAACGCACCAGGATATTCTTTGTTCCCAAAAAAGTCAGAGACATTGAGCGAAAAAGAAAACGCATCACAACGCAGAGGCTTCCAGGTCACATGGCAAAGAGGCAGCAAGCAAAAGGCTTCGCAAAACCTCAACGAAGCTGCAGCTTGAGCGCGCAGCTTCTGTCGATGGATTCTTCTCCAAACATGGACAAAAACCATGTGGCAGGGGGTGACCCCCAAGAAACAACCACTGAATCTACTCGTCGTTTGTCCCCAGCACAGCAGGGTTGCTGCGCTGACCTGGTTTCCTCCCCTTTCATCCACGTTCACACCGCCCGGTTGGTCCTGAACCCATCCGAAGCTCCGCTACGTGCAGTACCAAGGTACTTATTTGAGGTCTACGGTCTACGGTCCACTGTCGCATCCGATGAGCCACTGTCGCATCCGATGTTCGTCCCCCCTAGGCCCTAACCGACCGAGTGGTGCATGGATGTGCATGGTATTGTTTAAGCACTCCATGGGACTGGCATAGGACTGCGGCCCCATTCACCCCTTTTCAACCACCCCAATGTAAGCAATATGGCAGTCCCATATGGAGTGTCTGGGATTTATCTACCGACCCCCGAGCTGTTTCGATCCGACAAGAGAGGTGAACCGAACTGTTCATCCCAAAAAAACAGGTGAGAGGTGATCCACTGACTGTGATAGGAAATATATGCGCATCACCCATGTTGCCAGCCAGCAGGATTTCTTTTGTTTAATTCGTACATCTTCTGGCACTGCGAGCAATCAGTCGGTACATCTGTCCCTAAAACTCCAACCATATCCTCCGGTTCGGTGCTTAGACCCCCCCTGGCACCCACCCCTGGCCGGAGGTGGGCCAGGAGCCCTAGGGTGTGGGGGTCCATGGAGTGCCTGGGCCATGCATCCGCATGGGTCGGCCGGTCCGGCCGGATGGTTCACGGCGAAACCATATGGAAACCGTGCGTGTTTGGGCGAAATCATGGTGTTTGGGCTTTTGTAGGAATCATATATAGAATTGGGTTGCCTGTACATATATGGTTGAGAGGCGTCTGTTGGTTCGAGGAATTGGATGGATTCAGGTGAACATGTGACAGAACTTGGAAAACCAAAGAAGCACCTTTGGCACTGAATGCTTTCATCCACTGCCCAAGATGAAGGACAAATAAGGAAAGTCAAGTAACAGCTGGTAGAGGTCTTCATCATACTTCCTTGGCTGCAAACGAGTCAGTCACCTTGCAGTCCTGTGGGACTAGTACTCATCCTATCCTCTAAACAAATCCAGAACGATGGCATCTACAACCAGTCCTCTAAACGGCCATTGGGAAGCTGTTCATTCGGGAAAATGTCCAGAAAACACGATGACAAAATAGAGCCTTTGACAAACTACGTCCGCCTCCAGGCAGTGTTGTGAAAAGGGACGACGGTGGCAGTATTGTGGAGAACACTTGCCTTTGCCTTGGGGGCCATGTTCACCATGTCTTGAGTGAACGATCGGAGTTTCCTGTGCTGGTAGCCCACCCAAGTAAAGCTCTTAAATGGGGTTAGCTGATCAGCCTGGTCAGTCAGACCAGGACAATTTTCCAGCTCCACCCGCACTTACCAACCTAATTATATTGTCTGAGCATCAAGCATTTATTGATCCCCTATAAAGGGCGCGTCCTGTCCACTGTGTCCTGTTCCCTGTGACGATGGATGATTATGGTTAACACCGTTCTCTTTGTAAGTTAGCCACTATGTGATTGCTTTTCCGACTGTTCTGAGTAGGATTGAATAGGACTGTAGAACCGCCGCCATGTTATGCCGAAACATCGCGAAACACAAGCAGGGGAAGGGCGGTGTATCCCCGCAGCAGTGGATGATGCGTCAACTGCCTTTCACCCAAAAGCACGAAAAAACCTCAATTACAGCACACTCTGACGAACACATCACATGGAAGCGGATGGCCTGACCCCTTGGAAGACTACTTTCTCTTCGGCTTTCCACGGTTTTCCACTTCCACGTGATGGGTACCAACTTTTTTGTGTCTTATGACACATCCAACTCCCAGGGAGACCCCCAGCGGTAGATTGACAAGTCGAGGAAAGGATGAGGGGTCTACTGTTGAGAGAAGAAACGATAAAAAAAAAGCACTAGAACCACCTGGTTCATACTGCCTTCTTCTCAATTTCATGTGACTTCTTTCAACAAGGCTTGGGACTCACCTCACGACCGGCAAGGGATGACAGCTTCGCTCCTGAACGCCGTGCTCAACATGAAAGGTCGGACCTGTTGAGCACCGCCCGCCCGACCCACTCTCTTGGCTTGAGACAAAACTCAAACACCCAACTTCTTGGATGAGGGAGATAACACCTGTAAAACAAAAAAACAAAACCTAACAGGCCCATTTGGGCCGGGTTGTGGAAGGTACACCACCTTTCTGCAGCAAAGCATCTTGGTGACTTCCCCCTCAAAGCCATAGAGCTTGTTCATGTTCCTCCGCGACAAAGCTGCTACCGGTTCTTTGGGTTCCACCCACGGGGGGGGCTTCTGACTTCGGACCATGGTGGAGAGACCCCCTTGACTGCTGATATGGCTTGCAAAACTACCGAAGATGAGCTGAATGCTGCCCGAAATAGCTTCGTTCTGCAGTGCATCTTGCAGTTCATCTGCCCAAGACCTAAAGATCTGTGCCGGAAAAAAAGGCTGCTGAATCGTGGTCTCTTGTTCTCATTTGTGCATTCCAAAATCTTCCGACGATTGTTACGAGTGCCAGTAACATTTCGATTCAAGAAACCCGGGATCCACAGCGATCCTCTTCTCTAGACTGTATACCCCTCTTTCGACACCACTGCCCACCAAGCCCATCACAATACAATCACTGTGCTCTGCCCAAACGACGACGGTACTGACGACGGTCCCATGCTACCGCTGGCCATGATACTTGTCCTTCACCCGCAGCATCAACAACTAGTCTCATCCAGGAGGGTGGATAACCCATCCACCCTCCAATCATGAAAGTGAACAACTTCCCCTCGAAAAGGATTCCTTTAGAGTCAGGTGCTTTTCCACTTGTTTTTCTTGGAGACTTCCTCCTCCCACAAAGGCACCTCGTTCACCGTGCCTGGGGAGCCACACCAGTGCAAACAGTGCCGAGTGGCCGGGTCTCATGGTTCCCTCTCGCCAAATGCAGGTGATTCGGATACCTCAGCGGTGATGGCCGGCTGAGTGGCGTGGCTGGGGCAGAAGCTAAGCTTTGGGCCATGCGAGCGCGGCTGAAGCGGCTGAGTCAGCAATATCATTGACTTGTATCCAAGAGCCATCTCCACCATCGTCCACCCCACTTGCAAAGGGGGTGGACAATTGATGCAATGTTGGTCACAACATTGTATTTGTATCAGTCACCTATTTAGACTCTTCCTCCAAATGGTCACCAACAGCGATCGACTCCGTCGACTCGACTCAATCTATTCCACACATCAGCTACGCCAACTTCCACGCAAAGAGCGTGAGGATCACCTCGACAGAGAAAGAGCCTCAGAACGAGCCGCCGGCGCCACCGGCGCCCAAGAACACGTTGCCCCCCAAGTCCAAGGATTACAAATTATGTATATAAACACGAGGAACCACGTGGAACCAAATAATGAATTGATGTACCATTCATTAAATTAGTTTACTATCCCTAGGGCTCCAACCATATCCTCAGGTTCGGTGGTTAGACGCTCCTGGCACCCACCCCTGGCCCATCTTCTCAGGAGGTGGGCCAGGAGCCCTATAAGGGTATATTTTTTGTGATATATGGTAAACACGTCTAAACCCATCGCGGAACCGAACTGGCCATGTCTTGTTCCATTCGGTTCTGGCCATCCGAGCTGGGCAACGCTGTGGAAAGACCAATGAGTTTGGGACTTGCTCCTCTGCTCCATGCACTGTTCCGTGCACTGCTGCACTTCAGCGCCTCATCCCCCCCTGACACCGGACACTCGTCGACTGGATCACCATGGATCGTCCCCAGTCCACTTCGTCGCACTTCCCACACCTTCGCCCCGGACGACGCCTCGGTCCACGAAGTCGCCGTTGAAGAGATAAGGGTTTTGTTCCTCAAACGACGGGACCGGCGACGGCGAGACGAAGGTCGGTCGACCGAGCAAGCCATGCGAAGGCGACCGGGGGAGGTGGACTGCCTGATCGGTCCGGAACATCTCGTGGATGTCGAGAATTTAGAAGCGTGACTTCTTGTGGGCCTTCTTCAAGAAGGGAACACCTCTGCCCTGTCACAAAGGAGAGTGGAAGGAACATTTTTAACAGCGTCAACATTACAGGATTCATCAGGATTCTAAGGGTGGCTGACACTTGTTCATGACTTGTACTCGCTTCATGGAATTCAGGAAGAGCTGCAGGTCAATGACTTGAGCCACGAAGATCTGCAGGAACTGTCGTCAAAGCCGCCTTTGAGGCGTGGATGACGCTGGTCCTCTCAAGGAAGGTCGGAGCTCTGACACAAGACCTGCATAGTCTGAGGGCGCCGGTTGATCTGAATGAACGCAGTCCAAGATCGTCGCAGGCGGCACCCTCCGCGAGCTTGCCATGCTTCCAGCTCGAACACCTGCTTCAAATCTGCCCACTTCTCCATTTCAACAGATGGGCGATGTCAACAGCGTCCTGTGCTGCCTCCAGTGCCTCGCCGATGTGAAAAAAGCATAAAGTATCTAATCTCGATATTTGTCAACACACACACAGCTTCCTCTCCAAGTCGGCTGCCAAGTGCGTCTGACACATCTGTGAACGGATGACGAATTTACAGCGACTGAATCAAACCGCTCCTTAAGATCTTCTGCCACCCACGGCCGAGGTGGCTAATGGAGAGCCCTTAAGCTCTTTTCTATTCACCCCAAACAGGCGGCTCTGGAATGGTGGGGTCTTATTCATCAAACCATCAAGCTTGGGTCAAGTCCATCTAGACCCGTCTCGTAGCACCAGACTCATCCTAGCAAACGAAACCGTCGACGCTGGGCGGCTGCTTTGACGAAGCTCAGCGCGTCCGTCGCCGTTCGCGCTTGGCGCTTTGCTTGTTTTTAACGGTGCATCCACGGCTCGGAGGGAATTCCGTTCAAGGAGAAGATATTGAGCAGATCATAGAACTGCCCATGAACATCTCCGCACACGGTCACCTCGCCCATGTCTGGGACCTGACCGAACCGAATTGGACTCTGCGCCGGTTTCGGCGTGATGGGTGGGTTGTGCGCAGAAATTCAGGTTGCACATGGTTACACTAGGCTTGTGGGGAGAGGTGCTTTTTGAGGGGGAGTTGAAGAAGCACATGTTTTTTTTCATATGCAACTGATTCCAGGATCCTGGTAAAGAAGGAACCAGTGACCAGGGATTTCAGGGAACTTCCAAGATCTTCCAAGCAGGATGAGTTGTTCGCCCCTCCAAATGATCAGAGCAACAGGCGTACACAAATGTTCACATCAACTGATGCACTCTCAGAGCTTGTGGGCGTGTGGGAAGTCAACCGATTTTTGGATTCTCTCTTTAATTACATCACATCCTCAATGCCAGGGGGTTCCTCTTTACCCACGCAGGTGGAATCGCCTGAAAAGGTGGACGTCCCAACATCGACTGCACTGGCTGCACTGGGCTCAATTCTTCTGAGTTGTTGGAATTGACACCGTCTTGGTCTAGGGTTTCTCTTAACTGGTGGTTGAGGAATGCTTAGACCACTTGTCACTCAAATGTTCATGAGTGAAATTCTTACGAACATGCTCTTCAATAAGCAACAGCTGTGGTTTTGAGAGGAAACCCCTATAAAGGATTGGACAACGAGCAAGCCAAAGCCTCAGAGTTGAGGTCCCAACATGGAGAAAATTGCTACCACCCATCCAAGATGCCAAACACATCCTCCACACCTATCGTATCCACCATTGTCAGGTGGGAAAGGACCATGTTTTCTCTGAGAACACCAACCATCTGGAACTGTCCTCAAAAATTTGTCCACAGGGCAAAACGCTGCATCTGGAACCGCTCTGTCCGGCTCTTTTGATCTCTGTCCGGCTCTGCCCGCCTCGATGTCCACTAAAGTGCTGGAAGTCTTCAACATTTCAATCATATCCAAAACCTCAACTGGAGCCCTCCGAAGCCGCCGCAAAGACCGCCCAAGCGGTTTGGAATGACAGCAACGGGTGGATCCACCGTGTAGCTTCGTCGTGCGGCTCCGTGGATGTACAAAGAACCAGCCGGCCGACAAAATCGACATGATCTCATTCATGTTTGGTCAATGACGGCATGGGATTTCAGGAGAAACATCCCCCACCCAGCAGGTGCTTTTGCAGGTTTTTGTTGACCTGCATGGAGGCAAATCCTCAGATGAGGAGGCAAATCGATTCATTGATCCCAGCTTTTGAGGGTCCAACCCCACCTCCTCACCTCAACACACAGGGCCACTTCCCCGCACTACGATCGACACAACGGGGCCATGATCAGATCTTTGGCAACACCAATGGACTGTGTGACTCCTCTACGGTCCATGGGCGCGGCCAAACCTGCGGCCGTTCTCGCCCAGAAGCGATTTGATAGGCAAACTTCTTGGCGATCACGAGCCTTGAAAGCGGGTTGTCTCTGTTTTTGCACTTCATTAGTTTTGACATGTTTTGACTCTCCCTCTCCTTCTCTCCTTCTCTCCACTCTCCCTCTCTCTCTCCCTCTCTCTCTCTCTCCCTCTCGTTCTCTCCCTCGCTCGCTCGCTCCTTCGCTCTGATGACTTTTCATGTCTTTCTTTCGGAGCATATGTTGGGGACTTGTTGGGGAGTCAATACACCTCTGAAATATCTTTCCAAGGTAGCTTGGACTCTCTCCGGTTTCCACCGGTTTAAATCACTTGAAAGCCAGGATAAGCCAGGCAGCTCCTTCCTCTGATGCTCCATGAGCTGTTGACAAAAGTCGCTGGTGCAAGCGCCAGAGACGTACACAGGTCCTCTCACGCCGTGTACGTCAAAACGCGTGAAAAGCCACCGCGACCGATCCCTAGTCGAAGGAGCATTTCACGACAGGTGACTGGAGCGTTATGTTCTTTTTGGGGGGGAGGTCGTCGTGGGGTCCCTGAAGAAACTGGTGAAAAGTTCAGAAGGGAGCACGGGGCTCGTCTCTCCAAAAAGACTTTGTCGCTTCCTACATCAAGAGGTGCAACAGCACCTACCCTAGCTAGACCAACCAGGTCGGTGTCTTGCTCCGGACTGTCCTGCATCGTCTGTCCAGAGCAGCTTCTGTAAATCAACATATCGATACTGTTCGATACTGAGTTTCCATTCAATGCCACAGCCATCATGAGCTCCTCCAGTGCGAGCCCGCGCTTTTCCGTCCAGCCCGCGTCGAAGTCCCTTTCCGTTTACCGGGTCGAAGTCACGTGTCACGAACACGCCACAACTGTCGGCCTGTGTAGCTGGCGTCCACCGGCATCTGCTCCACGTTCACGGTCTCACTGATGGGTTTCGTCTTTTCACAGCCAATGGCCTCGGGCATTGGGCATGAGGGGGCGAGGGCGAACGACAGGGGCGACTTCAGTCGTTCGAACAAGACACGGTGGATCTTTAAAACAAGGGAGACCGGGATTACCGGTGCCTCTTTTTGGGGCTAACAGGTCATTTGTTTCTTCTGGGGAGTCCAAACTGATACCCAAGTCGTAAGGAACATTGGCTTGTCAACATGTGTAACTGATTTTAACACCGGTACCACTTATGTATTATGTATTTATCGTTTGTGTTTTGATTCTGTTTGCCTTGGTGCTGCCAATGTCTTGATTTTCGTTGTACGACTGACCACCCTCCAGGTAGCAGCCACCCCAGCGGCACGGGACCAAAAGTGGGTATAGACCCTCTGAGCCTCTGGGCAGTCGTTGGTCTGACTAGGTGCCAAAGGTATCCAAAGGTTCTGAGGGGTGCAGAAGAATGCCCTTCTACCAAGGTAGGAAAGCATCGTATAGATGTGTATTGGCCAACCTGCCAATCCTTCCCAGCCTTCGCAAACTTCTCAGCGTTCACTTGCTTTTGACACTGCTTCCTCAGACGTTTCCATGCAACAATCACGGAAAAAAGGACTCCGATCAGATTCATTTGACACAGCTCCCCCATGTGACTTCGAAGTTGTTCTGTTTGGACTGAACACAACATCTTTGAGGCTGCCGTGTCCATTTCCGGCGCTTTCACGGGCGGTGACTGGCGCCGAAGTGGAAAGCGTTCCTGTTCGGAAGCTGAGCATCAGGCACCCGAACAATCCCATGGCGACAGGAAAGGCTGTCCAGGAGTCACAAGGGGTATTGGAGGATAGGGGCCGGGGTGACCATTATCCGCTCACTTGGGGACGACACACCACCCCCTTCGTGAATTGTGGGGTTGTTCTTTTTGCGTCGGATTCAGCTGAGCATCAGCTTGTCTCGCGCGTCCTTGTCATTGGGGGCCAACTTACACAGCTGCATGAAGTCCCGCAAAGCTTCCTGCGCGCGCGCTCGGCGTGGGGGAACGGCACGGGTGGAGGGGACCTGGTGGAGGGCCGACCGTCGTAGCAAAACCACGACTCAATCACTCGATTTAGACTGTCTTGAACCCGATGGTCACTGCAATGTGTCAAGATGTTCCTCTGAGGTTTTCTGCGTTGTGAAGACGGTGAAGAAGTCACGCATCATCAATGTCAGGAGCTATACATGTGAAGAGCGTGGTAGAATATCCGTTGTTCGTCAGGTGGCATAGCAGGTCCGAAGTCCAGTCAAAACTTTGCTGATGAAATGAGTGTGTAATTAAAATAGGGCCCACCCAAACCGATGGGTAGACTGGTCTGTGTCTCTTCTTCCAGGGGGTTCATTGCCTGGGAGGTCTCCAAATTTTAATACACACCCAAATGCTGAGGTTGTCTCTTGTGCCAACAAAGCTAGTAGTCGCCAGGGCCTTACTACTAACAAGTGCATCGCAACTAGTAGCTTCTAGCATCTTATAGCTACTACTGATGCCTTGTTACTAGTATATAGCTTCTAGCTAGCTATAGCTACTATAAGTACTATATGTCCTTGTTACTAGCGATGCACTTGTTCCATCTTGTTCCGTTCGCTTGTTCCATCACTCTCCTTCGCCCTCTTCTTCGCCCCAGACAACTCCGCTCCCCGCTCCTTGGGACGTCCCAGCGCCATTTGGGCAGTGCCCCGCCGGTACCAGCCCTTCCTCAAACACGTGACGTGGAGAAAGCATGAGAAAGCGAGGTTCCAAGAGGCTTTTGTTCAGTACGGATGGCCATGGATGGCTGAAGTTGGATTGAAGGGACTTCTTGCCATGACAGGGGGGGTTCTGATAGTTTGGAGGGAAATGGAGGGGAATGTTCACTAGAGTTGCATCTGTTTCTCCTCAGTTGGCCACCGGTTGGCTGGTCTGCTTGCAGTGATACCTTCTCAGTCGATCTATCCAAATGAGTCCGGAGGAGTCTGCTGAGGAACAGCTCATGGTGCTGGAGGCAGTTGACAGAAGCGACTGTTAACACAAGAAATGAAGCATCATGCTGATGACAAGTCGAGTCATACAAGTACCAACCTGCTCCACTTGCCATTTTGGAGAACTTATCAACGCAATAAGAAACACAGCCAAACTGGGAAAAGCTCCCCCCAAGAACCAACCAAATCTGTTGGGCGAACAGAAGTGCACAGAACTGGGCTCCTGGACTGCTCATCAGCGGAGTAGACCGGCCCCTGGACCACTAACCGACTCGTGTGCACGGCGCGTGCTCCCAGTGAGAGACCTCCCACGACACTTCACACCGGTGCCGGTGCCCCGGTTCGGTAGAAGACCGGTGCTTCCCAGCGAGGTGCGGGAAATCTTCCTTGGCCTCGATGGCCTTGGTGGCATCCACCAGGGCGGAGCCAAAGTTCTCCATCTTGATGTGGCCTGTGGAGATGTGTGGAGATGTGTGGAGTGAGGGGAGATCAGTTGGGACCAGGACAAATATAGCAAACAAATAACACCTGTATTCCTGATTGGGAACATGAGCTTCTCCAAAGAGGATTTGCAACTTTCAAAACGTAACCAAAACACCTGTCCAAATGCTTGGCAATTGCGTGACCAAGTGGCAAAAAGCCCGGTTGGCGTAGTAGATCTGGACGCCTGGGTTGGGGTAGGCTTTGGGGCTATATAGGCTTACTCGTGATGGGTTTGCGCTATCTCAACTTTGCACAACTGGGGATCTGTTCACTTTCCTGCCACAGCTCCTGGATGTCAGAGGCAGTTTACCGGCAGGGGCAGGCAGTTGGGCGCCAAGAAACAGTGTCTTTGGCGGCGTGGTAGGCTCGGTGATACAAAGTCACACGAGTTACACACTCCGTACGAGCCGTTTCTATCGGAAGAGATTTTGGTGAAGCGAACGAACTCCCCACCTGTTGGGTATTGGTATTTCTTTCGAAGAAGCGCATCCAGTACAACCTGAAAGAATAAACGCTCCCTATATAGTCCTTCTATATTTGTTTTTCAATCGTTATCATGGTTTTCCATGGTTTTCCTATCACTCCCCATTTCGTTCGGCGTGTCCTATTTGGTTGGCCCAAAATAGGACCTCCTTGGCCATTTGGCCTTCCATCTCGAGTTGATCGAATCCCTGGACCTTCTCGAATCGCGGGTTTGTAGTGGCCCCCAAATGGGTGAAGATTCGAATCCTCGTATTACGACCGCGGATTTCTTTGGCCAGACGTCGGTCAAAACGGTCCATTGTTCTATGGCCGTTGTCTTGTCTTTGTAGCGCCAAGCGGCTGGGGTTCTTGGATTTGCTAACCCCATCCAAAGAATCTAGGCCATCATCATCTTCCGAAAGTTCGATCGCCATCGAATACGCCGCCAAGGCTTTGGCATATTTCCCCTCCTGAGAGGTCGACGGTGGAGGCGCCAGACGTTTGGGCGTCCTTTGGTCAGCTGGGAGTCTGATGATGTAGATAGATCGAGCCAACCGGGAATTCTGTTGCGTTTGTCATTATTCTATGCGCTTGAAAGTGACATCAATCAACTGACTGATCAAAGATATTCACTGATAAGGTAAAAAAGATTACATTCTCTTCAACCTCTTTTTGGAGATTGTTTCCACCTGGGTGACGGGTGCCAATCATTTGGAAGCAGTTTTATAAACTGGAGAAGGACCGGTGACGACCAAAAAGCTTCCCCTACATTCGCACTCCAAATCTGGGCCAACCCCCGCCCCCAGATGGTCCGCCGCAGCCCGCCGCCCGCCCGCGCCAAGAGCGCGCGCGGACCATCCGAGGATCTTGGAAGAACTTGTTCCCCTCCGCCTTGGCCGACTCAGCCTTCGTCCAGTCTTCCATGACGATCTTCCGTCAAGGACGAACAGCCCGAAGATGAAGGCGCATCCACCGCGGAGAAAGGCCGGTGGGACCAGCAAAACTGTGGCAATTGGGTGAGTTTGGTGGTGTTTTTGTTTGGTACTTTGAAGGCTTATCTCCAGATTCTGAAGTGAGAGAGGTGCTATTCTTCTTTCACACAAGCTAGGTGTTCTTGCAAAACAGCTTGCCTGCTGCTGTAAAGTTATGATAGATGGCGGTGAATCTTGCCAGCTTCATCCGCCACTAAAGGAGGGAGTCTGTGCTGCCCCTGTCCTGTGAAGCCAAAATGTGAGCAGACCGGCTCCAGCTGATTTGGTCGACCTCGATTTCGGTCGCTTATGATCGAGCTCTGGTCATTTTCGGAGAGGGTGTTCCCCGATCATTCCTCCAGCTTTCCCCGTTGAGAATTCATCATTCGGAATTGGCAAAGCAAGGTCGAAAGCCATGGATTGAGCCCCAAAAGAACCGCAACTCTTGTAGGGTTTATCCTGGATGTGGTCATCGCGCACTGCTAAAATGCAACCAATGCAACACATTTGTCATGATGACCAAAACTGTGGACATACAAATCATGTGAGCTATGAGAGATGCACCCTCAGCTATTGATGACCACCAAAGGGAGTATATGCAACCATCCAAGTACTTTAGGGGATGTTCTACCAAGTGAACTGTCTGTGGTGGGTGATGAAGGGAGAACGACTTCGCACTCATCAGTGAATGTGTTTGGATGTGTTTGGTAGATACATACGACGGACGGAAGGTGGCTGGGACCTATAACGAATCGCCGTTGCTTCTTGCTGCCCTCAAAAAACCAGGAAAGCACTTCGAGGCTGTTAGGACCATCTAATGTCCAATTGAGATCCAACTCTTCATCACTTTTCACCCGCAACAGCTCCAGGACACCCGTGGGTCACAGAAAAAAAGGCAAGGAGCCAGTTACATAACTTTCTTGTTACACCCTTTTACACCTGCAAGTGACAAGTCTACAAAACAATATCTCCATGACATGAAGGATGGTGGACATTAAGCGTTCCCCAGTGAGGACAGCGGAATGAACTGGCCTGTTAACTGAAGAAGGTTCCAAGATGGAATCATGTTTGATGAGAATCTCATCTTTGATTGTTGAAAGAACTGTCTTCAGATCGATTGGGCCTCTTCAGTGCAAGGTGAGGATTTTTCCTGTGTCCCCCAAACAGCTCGCATTCCATCCCTGCTAAGCTGCTAGGGTAATCCAGAAACCAAACATGATCGCTCAAACCTTGCAAAGACCCGGCCAACCATGGCCGCCTGGCCTGTCTCGTTGGTTTCACCGAGAAGCTGACCCTCGCTGACCCTCTGGTTTCCTAGGAACTGAAGATGGTGAACCAAACCGGGGACCAGAAGCTTCAATTGCAGTAGGTGATCCACGAAAACTGCCTAGGCCAGCCAACAGCATGGCCCATGACAGACTGGAGAGACCTCATGCAGCATCCAACCCAATTTAGCCCAATTTTATGAAGGACGAAGAAGACACGTGGACATCCTCCTAGCTGGTCAAGAACAACACCTTCTACAATAGTGTGTATAGCCTCTCTGTGTGTGGGTTTACAGCATAGTTATCTCAGCATAATATATAATATATACGTTAGTTTTCACAGAAAGGTAGCCTTCAAGAGGCTACAAACGTATTTAATGGTTTTAATGTCAGTCTATACATGTCTATACTATATACAATTCTATACATAATGGTTTCAATCTACAGGAGGTCTCCCCTCCAAGTCACCAACCAAGTCGAAAGCCCATCCGATTCAAAAGGGGCCCAGAAAGCCCAGAAGCCCGGGACAAACGTCAACCCGCCTTGAGCGGCACCTCATTCACAGTGAAGTAAACAGATTGGTTGATGAAGGTGCTGTGGCACTCGATCGGCAACTCAGGCCTCGAGGGGTGCGTGACGTAATTAGGCCTTGCTTGGTAAGTTTGGGAAGTTTAAGGGCGAGTTTTGCATAGAAAGCCAAACGCCCAAAGCCCACCCAAAAGGGCTCCACACGTACCGGTCACTGTTCACGGCCGCTGGCTGGGCCGAGGGCCGAGGGCACGGTTCACTCTCGTTCAGCACCGGACCGCACTTCTGCGCGGCCTCATCTGGAGCAACTTGACCATGTGGAGAAGATCCCCTTGGATCGTTCGGCATCACAAAAGACGCAGCGTAAGTAGAGACTGGACGAAAGACGAACCATCTTGAAGAGACCTTGACCTTCTGACCTTCTGACAGCCAGACCGGTCTGGCCAGTAGCCAGACCGATCTTGAAGAGAAAACCAAACACCATCGAACACCCCTTTCACCAGCGCGCGCCGCAGAAAACCCGTTTCACCGGACCCTTTACCGGTGAATGTTCAGGATTTGGTTCTGGAGAAGCTCATCATGAATCATGCGTTGTTCAGGTTCAGACTTCGGGCGCCACCTCACTTGGGCAAACGATCGCCTAAAATTGTGAACGATTCATGTGTGGCCAATCGCTGAGAAAATCATGCAATGCATGTGTTGCCAAGCCCATCTGCAGAAGCGAAGTGTAAGCTTGTGCACCTTCCCCAAACTCCACCCACCCAGAGTGTTTTCAGTGAGCTCCAGGCTGGGGGTCCAAAACAATCTAGCGCCTCGACTGCACAACCAGTTGTTGCCTCGCACAAGACCTATAGGTGTCATTATCTTGAACTTTCAACTGGCCATGGTCGCTCTCCGAACTTCGTGAACTGGACCTTCCGCCCAGTGAATCTTTACAAACCGTAAACAGGTGGGTGTCTACCATTCCAAATAAATACCCATTACCCATCTCTCTCAGAGTGGACACCCGACCGACTTGGGCCCGTTGGTCGACCGTCTAGGTGGTTCACCCAACGATCGAGCCAAGGTGCCAGTCATCCTTAGAGACGGGCGATGGTCGCGCCATCTCGAGACGGGGCGACCTACTAGACCTACTAGCAATATGGCTTCCAACGTTGACCTAATAGCTCGTTAAAAAGCTTCCAACTCTTCAAACCAGAACAGTTTGAATTCTTGGGTTGAGAAATCCAAGCAGGCAGGGGGCACCCTAAACCCTAAACTCCTATAAAGGCCACTGCTGTACAGGCTTCGGTTGCAAAACAAAAAAGGTCCAACCATGGCAACGTCAAGTGAAATCTTGGGCACCTGAACATTCTCCAATGCCATTGGGATTGCAACAACACGACTTAGAACCTTTAAGGATTGATTAGTCTTGGTGGTAAGATCCGCAGAGCAAATTTCAAATTCTGGATGTGAAGGAGGGTCCTCAGAACTTGGCTGTCCAGCCCGGTCCTCTGCTAAGGGTGAAAAACCTTCAATGGCTTGAATCCATTCTAAACCAAAAGGACTGAGGGTCCAAGAGCAGAGGACGGTCAACACGAAAAAACAATCCAGTCTCCTGCTTTGTGAAAACTTCAAGGACCTCCAAACTCGACTCAACCTTCACCTGTCGTGGTGCTGAAGAATGGGGTATGATTCCAAAAGTGGATCTCCATGCAGTGAACAGTCCCTGTGGCTGCTTAAGTTGTCCATTTAGACTGCAGCTAGGCATGGCAGTGAGTTTCCCCACAAATGCGTGTGAGCAAGGGTGGAGGAATTATATAACCCTAGTGCACCAGAATAATCATGACTACCCCTGCTGGATGTCCGAGGCACTTGAAGTCGTGCATGGAGTTCAGCGGAATGGCCTAGCTCACGCGGTGCAGGGTGTGGCACTGATTTAGGTTCTATCCATCAGCTGACAGATGCTGTCTGCGGGTGACGAAAAAGCCTTAAGTTGCGAGTCACAGGAGAGACGCCAGCAGCAAGGAAGACATGACCCGGTGTCCAGGAAAGGATCTTCTTGCGAGTACCAAAAGTACAAACATAGGGACTGGAGGACTGGAATAAACGACGCCCAGTAGCGCAAGACTTGAAAACACACACCCTGCACATGGAGTTCTCCCATGAGACCCCCCCTCCGATGAGTGCTAGCCGCTAGCCGCAGGGTCAGGAAAGCATGGACCGGGAGGGGCACCAGGGTCAGCGAAGCAGTGCGCATTGTCTTGGCTTCCAAAGGGTTTTGTCGGTTGTGGCCAGGCTTTCTTCAGAAGGCCTTCTCTTTGTCCACCTGGAGTTCAAAGTTCTTGCTGGTAAGAAGCTGCATCCCCCCAATCCAATCCTTTGTCAACTTGGATTGCACACCCACGGTTCTGGTCAGAAGCCGAAGCCAAATTTCAGCGTTCCCGCTCCACAGAATCGAAAAGGCTGGGCCACCAGTGCTTGGCTTGCCACCCGTGACCAGGCACACACACTGCCGACGTGCATTGAAGATCATTGAAGAGTGCCTATAAATCCTGAAACTCTGCATTGGAGTGATGTCACATGGCGGTTCCTGTGTCACCTGCACTTGCCTGCCTGTGTGGTCTGGTGGCACCACGGATGGTTGAAAGGACCGGAATCCGTGTGTGTTCTGAGTGTTCCCCACAAAGGAGTGTGTCTTAAAGAAGATTGAGACAAACCGAAGCTCTTCAAACCATGCTCCTTCCACAAGCTCTTCAACCTAAGAATCCGCGCCAGGAGCCAGGAGCACAGCATGTTGGCTGGTCGAATTCCAAGCATCAAGCAAGTTGTGCGTCTAACGCTGCCTGAAAGGAAACATCCCTGAGCGACATCAGAATGAATGGGATTGGAGCTCCTGTCTGCTGGCCAAGTGAAGACCCGACGAGCTGCATCTGCTGACAGTGCAGGCTCACGATGATTCGAATCCAGGTTCATCAGCGCGCTGACATCGACATGGCTTGGACATGACTCAATGACATCGTGGCAGTGAGGCTGGCTTGTTGAGGCTGGCTTGTTCTTTGCAAACATTCTCTAGCAAGCGCATGAACTCTCGTGAAGAATTGGATGAACAGTTAGTGCCACAATGCGTGGATCCACCGATTCAATGAAAAAGGACCAGCACACGCTAGGATATATATAA